ACGCTGGAGCAGGTCGCTGCCAGAACCTGTAGCCCATGGAGGAGCGAATGCCCACGCTGGAGCAGGTTGGCTGGTGGGACTTTTGTGACGCTGCGGGGCACTCGCGCTGGAGCAGTTTTCCTGGAAGGACTGCACCTCAGGCTCACGAGGGGAGGGCTGCCTGTCGTGAGGTGTCTCATGTTGGGCAGTTTGTGACGAATTGCCCTTCGTGGGACGACTCACGCCAGAGAAGAGAGCATGAAGCTTGTCTCCCGTGAGAGGGACCCCACAGTGACCCTGGGGAAGAGTGAAGAGTCCTCCTCCAGAGTGAAGAAGCAGAGGAACCAACGTCAGATGGACTGACTGTAACCCCCATTTCCTGTCCCCCTGCGCCGCTTGGGGGGAGGGTGTGGAGAAACCAGGATTGCTGTTGAGCCCGGGAAGAAGGGAGGAATGGGAGGAAGGTTTTTTTTTCTTTTAAGATCTGTGGTTTTGTTTTTTTTTATTTCTCACTACTCTTCTCTGATTTGTTCTTTTAATAAATCTAACTAATTTCCCCAAAATCGAGTCTGTTTTGCCCGGGATGGTACATGAAAATGATCTCCCTGTCCTTATCTCAAACCTTGAGCCCTTCGATATATTTTCTCCCCCTGTTGAGTGGAGAAGGGAGGGTGAGAGAGCAGCTCTGTGGGCACCTGGCTGCCGGTCAGGGTCAAACCACGACAATGAGAAAAAGTTTCCTCATGGCCCATTCTGCCAGGTCTTAACGAGCTGACAAATTAACGCCTGACTTGTGCCCAGTGGCTTTAGATGACATCCAACAAATGGGACCAGATTTGGAAAAAGAAGAGAAGTGTTGAGGAGGATGGTGGTTTCATTAATGGAATCAGACAGTGACCTCGCTAAGTATCTTTAGACTTTATTGCAAGGAGTTTTCTTTTTACATACTATGTATTATCTATATGAAGTTGTCCCGTGTATAGAAATTGAGATATATGATGCGTAGCTGCAGTGCAGTCTTTTCTAT